CACACACACACACACACACACACACACACACACACACACACATACACACACACACTCAGCCGAACATGCATCCCAAACACACACCAGAAAGCAGATATACTAATAGGCAAGGATTGAATTTGCCCTTTTGCTCCCAATTTCAACTAGTCGGACACCTCCGGGAAGTTCGTACACTTAAGCAAAAACCGCCCGGCTTCTAACTAAAGTTGCCTTCCCCCTTATCTGCACGGCTGGGACTCAGGGCTCCGCCAGGACTCACCATCAGTCAAAACTGCCATTGTTTGCTGATGTGTGAGCCCATTTCCCAAACCCCTGGGCCTGCCCTCCTTCAGAGTAACTTCTCCATGAAAATGCAAGCAAGACAGGTGCCCCCCACCCTCCTCTGCCCATCCCAGAGACAGGCGCTCAGGTGGCCGGAGAAGCGTGCGAGGCTGCTCTTCTCCAGGCCTTAACCAGACCTCAGCGCCGCCTCCTCCATGTTCAAGGGGCCTCGCCTCCCTCGCCCAGCCCAGCCCGGGGCCACAGGGAAGTCACCTGCCGTTCTTGGTCACGATCATCTCGTTAGTGACTTCCTTGAACCTCTGCCAGAGAGGGGCGTCCTCCAGGGTGATGCGCAGCTGCTTCTCCGTGGGGTCGCCCTTCTCCCTCCCCGCCTGCAGCTCGCTCTCCACCACGTCGAGCAGGCGGGAGACGGTGCCATCGCCGGTCTTCTGCGCGCCCAGCTCACTCATGGCCACGGGCCCCTCAGAGGGAGACGCTGGGCTGAGACGCTCCCTACCTGCCTGCTCCCGCCTCCTCCTGTCACTCGCTGTGAGGACAGTGCAGAGCGGAGAGAAGATGCTGGCCCTCGCCTAAGCCCCTACCTAGCAGGACACCCTCCAAGTCTCCAAATTATACACCAACCTGTTAAGCTTTGGGGGGGGGGGTGGAGACAGGGGAGGGGGGAGAAAGGCCCTCTCTTAATCACTCATTGGATCAGGTGGGGGAGAGCCCTCCCTGCCATTGGCTGCTGGCACAGAGGAACCGTTTAAGAAGAGTACTCCATCCAAATTATCCGGCTTTTATCTTGTTGTACCCGAAGAGCCCTAATCAGCGGGTGGAGGACCATTTTCCCGTTAATTAAAATCGTTCCAGGCCCCGACTGCCACAACTGGGCAATCGTGTTTGTGTATAAAGCGTGGCGTGTGGCCCCTATAGGAAGGAGGGCCCGGGGGGACGGGCAAACGTGAGGCCCAGGCAGGCTCTCCTGACACGCCCAGAACCTACGTCCCTGGGCCACCCGCCAGCCCCGACTCAGAGCCTGTATGGAGGCCGAGGGCGCCGCGCCAGGGAACGTGACCACCGCCCCAGGTCACAGGTCAGGAAAAAGAGCAAAGGACCTCTCTCCCAGGGCGTCCCCAAAGGGTCCCCTCTCCCCTGACGGATCCTACACACACCCACACTCTGCTCACCTCCCATCAGCAGAGCCAAGCCCGTGGCCCTAATCCCAGGGTGGCCGGAGGGAGAAAGTCCCTTAGCGTCTCCCTAGGGGTGCTCTGCCGGCAGCGAGGGGAACCAGCGCAGACACCAGGTGCGGAGCAGCTTCGGTCCAGACAGCTCTGTGGCGTGTTCTCCTCCGACAGCCACGCACTCAGGGAGGTGCCCACGCCTCCCGGGAAGATACTAGACGCGTCCCTTTGTCTCCCAGGCACCAGGCGCAGACTGGGACCCAGGCCTGGGCAGCACCTCCTCCTCAACCCCCAGTGGACCCTGGGGCTGTGGGCTCTTCTCGCTGCAACAGGAAGTCGGGGGGGTCAAAACAGAAGGAGAATGAAAGCAAAAGGGAAGACCAAGTCAGGGCAAGGACCACGCCGAAAGCGCACTCGGTGCCTGCGAGGTGCCCGGGCCTCCTGGGGCGGGTGGAGCAGGCGCGGCTGCACCTTCCCGGGTTTAACGAGAGAGAGGTGACCTCGCAGACAACAAGCCACCGAGGCGGCGACAGGCTCAGGCCGTGGCACAGGGGAGGTGGGGAACATGGGCGCCAGCCGGGTGGGAGGATGGGGTTGGAAGGGTTGGAGGGAAAGGTTCTCTGCAGAGGAGACCTCCGGTGAGACCAACACGGTGCTGGGCAGCCAGGGAGGGGGAGGAGGGCAGCCAGGGAGGGGGAGGAGGGCAGCCAGGGAAGGGGAAGGAGGGCAGGCGGAGGACCCGGTGAGAAGCAAGGCCGGCCCCGGAGAGAACGGGTTAGAGGGGTAGGGAAAGGTCACAAAGGAGCAGCTCAGAGAACGCTGAGCTTCCGGGGAGAAACCACAGGCAGGACAGTGTGCACGGAAGTCTGAGCATCTCAGGGACTGGACCATCGCTTTCCTCTGAAAGGGAGGGTGTGGGTGCGTCTGGGTGGGACCAGGTGATGGAACGACATCTTGAAAGTTTATATCAGAAACAATTCCCTTTGGAGACCCCCAGCCACCAGCCAGGCAGCTGTCCCTCTGCCGCTGCCTCGGAAAGCAAGAGCCTGACTTTCAGAAGAGAGGGGCTTGGAAGCATTTGTCCTCGGAGTCAGGAGTCACTGATGGGGCGGTGTAAGGGCCACACTGAACACAGAGGATTAAGGCACAGTCCTGCCCTGGCAGGTAGCGCAGTGGTTAGAGCAGGGGTGGGCAAACTTTTTGACTCGAGGGCCACAATGGGTTCTTAAACTGGACCGGAGGGCCGGAACAAAAGCATGGATGGAGTGTTTGTGTGAACTAATATAAATTCAAAGTAAACATCATTACATAAAAGGGTACGGTCTTTTTTTTTTTAGTTTTATTCATTTCAAACAGGCCGGATCCGGCCCGCGGGCCATAGTTTGCCCACGGCTGGGTTAGAGTGTCCACCCGCGCACCCAAGGGTCTCGGGTTCAATGACCAGTAAGGACATGTACCTGGGTTGTAGGTTCGATCTCCACCCTGGTTAGGGCACGTTGTCTCTCTCACACATCTATTTCTCTCTCCTTTCTCTCTCTCTCTCTCTCTCTCTCTCTCTCTCTCTCTCTCTCTCTCCTCTCCCTCCCTCCTTTCCACTCTCTAAAAATCAGTGGAAAAATATCCTTGAGTGAGCCCTGGCCGGTTTGTTTCAGTACATAGAGTGTTGGCCTGCGGCCTGAAGGGCCCCAGTTTCAATTCTGGTCAAGGGCACATGCCTGGATTGCGGGCTCGATCCCCAGTAGGGGGCGTGCAGGAAGGCAGCCAATCAATGATTCTCTCTAATCATTGATGTTTCTATCTCTCTCTCCCTCTCCCTTCCCCTCTGAAATCAATTTTTAAAATACACACACACACACACACACACACACACACACACACACTGGCCAGATTATTATGATCACCTGACGTTTGTAGGCAAATTAACTATAATTTCTCACTGAAGTTGCTAGAGGGCCAGATCATTATAAATGTCTGAATAGCACAACATACCTAAGTATCGTTGCTGATCAGGTTCATCCTATCATGTTGATGGCGTATCCCAATGGAGATGGCTTCTTCCAACAAGACAATGCACCATGCCACGGTGCTCATATTGTGCAGGAGTGGTTTCAAGAACATGAGGGAGACTTTACCTTGCTTAGGTGGCCCCCACAATCACCAGATCTCCATCCAATTGAGCATTTGTGCGACGAAGTTAAAAGAGCCATCAGGCAGCTGGTTCCACAACCATCAAATCTCACAGAACTGGTCAGTGCTATTCATCAGGCATGGTGTCCGATTCCTCGCATCACCTTTCAACATCTCGTGGAGTCAATGCCAAGAAGAATCGCTGCAGTATTGAAGGCAAAAGGTGGCCCAACGAAGTACTGATGGGGTGGTCATAATAATCTGGCCACTCAGTGTATGTGTGTGTGTGTGTATGTGTGTGTGTATATATATATATTCTCCTCAAGTGAGATTTCACAAAAAAAGAAAGAAGAGAAAGACACAGTCCTTAGGTAAGAAACTTGATTCCTCAGTGAAATGATCCGTCCCCAAGTACCGTCAGCCCATCAAATGGGGAAGGCCAGCCTCTGTCACGCCTGCCCTTGCTCATAGGCAGTTCATCATCATATCTGTGCCTCCACCTTAAATATGACCACACAGTCAGGGACCACGCAGTCAGGGACCATCCAACATTTAAGTCAAACCAAAGCAAAACAAAGAAATTCTGAGGAACAGACTATGCAGGCAGCAGAGGACAAGAGAAACCGTAACCACAATCAGGCCTTTCCAGCAGGCGGGCTGCTGGCAGGCTCTGTTCCGGTTACGGGCTGAGGCCCTCGGCTCCCACAGGCCTCCACGCCATCCACGCGGAGCCTCGCTGCTGGCTCTCTCCCTCCAAAGCAGCGGGAGGGACCTTCTCCTCTTTTAAGGGATCATACGATTAGGTGAGACCCACCCAAAATGACTCCCTTTTATTAACTAAGTAAACTGACCAGGAATCCTAACTGCACCTGGAAAGTCCTTCTTGCCATAACCCAGGAGTGACACCTGCCATAACCCAGGAGTGACACCCCGTCATATTCAGAGGCCCTGCCACCCTCAAGGAAGGGGGTGGCACGGGCTTTTCCCCCAGGGGACAGAATCTTGGGGGCCATCTTCGAATCCCGCCCACCAGAGAACATTAAAAACAAACAAGCCAGAAAACAGAAGAAAAAAGCAGAGGCAACTACAAACTCTAAGGTTTAAAACAAATTGTCCAAGAAAGAAAATATAATCACCGTATACTAGGCCTCAACTAGAAATACAATTGTAACAATGTCAATATTGACTTAACAAAAACTCATGATATTAGGATGATGAGAAAGGGGAAGCTGGTGTGGCAGGAAAAGGGGGTGTGGCAGGGAAAGGGAGTGCTGAATTCGCATCTCCTATGGTAGGAAGAGAGTCAATCATGTCTAACATTGAAAATCAACAAACTTAGCAGCATGCATACACCGTCCAGCAGTCTGGGGAGAAACGGCAGGTGTAACAGCATAAAGAGAGGACAGTGACGCCCCTGGCCGGCGCACAGCTGGTTGGAGCGTCCTCCCATACACCAAGAGGTGGCGGGTTTGATTCCCAGTCCGGGCTCATACCCAGGTTGTGGGTTTAATCCCATGGGGCCCATTCAGGAGACAACCAACCAATCTCTCTCTCTCTCTCTCCCCCTACCTCTCTCTAAAAAATCAATACAATTTTTAAAAATGTTTAAAGAAAGAGAGGACAGTAACTGCCTCTGGGGAGAGGGACAGAGGAATACTGGTTTTTTTTTCTTATAAGTTTTTAACCATATGAGTAAATGAAACATTAATAAGATTTATTAATTTATATCTAATTTTTAATTCAACAACATATAAAGATAATTCTCCCATGTTATCAAATAATGTTATCACTTTACTGTTTGTAAATTATTCCATCTTATGAATGGGTCATGTTTCATTTACCCAAGCTTCCCTTCCTGTATATTTACTATTTTAACAATTCGATAAAAATTCTGTACAGTAAATGTTCTCAAACAGCCATGATTGTTTTCTTACAGTGTCCTTAGAAGTGGTGCTAACTGACAAGCACACAATATGCTAAGCAGTTTATAGGGAGGATCCCACTTAATCCTTATAAGAATCCCATAGGGCTCGTGCTATGATTATATCCACCATTTAGGTGAGACAGCTGAGCTAAAAAAGTTGGTTAGGTAACGAGCCCACGGCACTGAGCCACTAAGTTGGAGGCCGCGCATAGCCCTGCGTCCTGGGCCGTCA